CATGGTGCATTTAGTCCATTTATCAAGGAAGTTCGCAGATAGTGTCTTCAATAAAATCTAGTTTAATATATCATAAATTTTTTTAATATCTATTTTAATTTTCATGAAGCCTTTTTTTTTTGTATTGTTTTTCCTTTTAATAAAGTATATGGCTTCTTAAGCAAAAATATTGTTATTACTGATCTAGCGGATGGGAACAAAGTTTGTTTGATTCCATATCAGCATTAGAAAAGGTAATGGCAATTTGGACGAAATCATTTGGAAGCATTCAAGTGATAATAACTTCTTAATTTGATTGATTCATAGGTTCGATTCCTGTTGGATGCACTTGGAACGTTCAGTTCAGTTGTTGCTCATGAAATTGTTACATATAGCTTGCCCTTATAATTTATAGGATACTTCACTCACTCAACACTGACTCAATGGTTGATTCTAATAGAAAACAGAGCTAAACCATGTCCATCATTAAAAGAGACAAATACTTTATATAGCTATTTATATTGAATAAACTCTTATTAATTCTGAGAGATGTCATCAACATCTTACTGTTGATGATTATACCCTAAATGTCACTTTACTTAGGAGGATGCATTCCTTATTATCAGCGATTGTACGACTTCTAAATAAGTATGAATTATTTTTATTGATTCTTGACTTATTGACTTTTTTATCTCTTCCTTTGACATGTATATCATGTGGAATCTGCATCCTAATTTATTATCCATAGGATTGTTAGATGAAAAATTATCTTCACTATCACGACGTGAATCTTTTAGCATAGATGTAATAATTTCATCTATGAGGTTGATCATGATATGAGATATTCACGCAATTATGATGCCATTTAGATGGCTTTGAAAGCTTCGAAAAGTTGTATTAGGAATGGGTCGATTGATTTCTATGCAGTTCTTCAAAATTGTTCTGGTGCGGTTTAGAGGGCACCTCCTCTAGGTTGGATAAAGAAAAACACATATGACTCTATTAGAATCTTGGATGGGCATTCCTCTAGTGGTGGTCTCGTGAGAGATCGCAATGGCAATTACATTACTAATTTTTTTGCTAACATAAGGGCAAACAAACTTGTTCAAGTTGAAATTGAAAGTACTTCAGAACGTTCTCAGATTACATGGAACTTTTATAGACTAATTCAATAATTTATTTGAGATAATTTAATTTGCACTGGAAAACAATGTTATTTATAAGAGATAATTAACAAAAAGTTTTTGGTTTCCCTAATGTTTTATTTAATTAAATTTCATTTATCTTAGAAAATCAATTTTTTAAAAAAAAAATTAAAAAAAAAACATGCACAATACTTGGGTGTTTCATAAATTTCACATGTATAATTATGGGTTACTTAATATTTTAAAAAAGTATTTTTTAATATTAACGTGCTCCACAAGTGATTGCACATTAAGATAATCAAGTTGTGCTATTAAACTAATTAAATAATTTTCCTAATTGAATAATTTTGGTAAATTAAGTTATTATTTATTTAAAATTAATTATAAATCTATTAATAAATAACTAAATAAATAAATAAATTATAATTTAATAAAGTAATGAAAAATACAATATATGTTTTCAGTTAATTTTACTCATAGCTTGGTTTTACCTAAATACTAAATAAAAAATTCCTTAGTATATTTATACTATAATGTTTTTCGGGTATACCAAAATAAACAAAAAATAATGGTAAATTTACTTATAATTAAATTTATTATTAATTAAAAATAAAATCAATACATGAAATATTTTTAATTGACATTAAATAATAATTATATTGATAATTTTGGTTTATACCATTTAAAAAATAAAAATAATATTTTAAATGCATAATTTATTATAAAAATAACATTATGTCATTATAATAGTTCAAATAATAATTTTTACTCAATTTTTAAATAAAAGTATTTAAGTTAATAATTAAAAAATTCGCACCATTAATTAAAATTAATTTGTACATAAAGGTATAAATATTTTACTGTGGAGGATTTAACCATATTTTACTGTATGGGAGGGG